AAGAATTCTGTACATGATTCCTCACAAAATGAGATTAAAATCAGTTTTCCCAGGAAAGAAGCTTTCTTTGCAATTTCTCTTCAGCCACCCCAGTTCACAGTCCCTCTGAACGGACTGTGGAGCCCTCAGACATCCCAGAGAAGCAAGCGGGAGTGTTAGGGAAAGTTCAGCTGTGATTCCACGATTCCGGTGCCTCCCCGGGAGAGGAGAACAGGTTTGTTTCTCTGAGGGAGACACCCGGGAATTGGGCCTTTGGTTCCATTTACAGTCAGGTCATCTCTGTGGCCCTTAGTTTCTTCAGCTGTACACTGAGAGTCTTGGGCTCAGTGGCCTCTGAGGGTCTTCCAAGTCTCAGTTGTGAGCTGTGGACTCTCCTACTCTGGCTTTGAGAGGGACATCAGAGAGGAAAACAAATAATGGCAGCCAAGAGGAGGAGGAGGGGGAGGGGGAGGAAGACGAAGAGGAAGAGGAGGAGGAAAAGAAGCAAAAGGCTTCCAGGCGTTAGACTGAAGGAACAGCCGTTGCTCATACATGTTTTGATCGCTCACAGGTGTTTTTCATTCCATTCCCTCCAAGTTATTAAAAGCCAGGCAAATTCCACTGGCTTCACACCATCGTTCTGGGTGGCAATTCTTTACTAAAAATCTCCATGCACAGACTGAGGCTTCCGTCACAGCCGAGCATGCAGAATGTTCCTCAGCTAAGGCGGGATGATCCGGTAGCCTCCCGACCCCGCCCAACACTAACCCCCACCTCTAATTCCCCCTCCCCGTTCCCTGTCCCCACCCATCACGAGCACACCCTGGATTCCCGTCTGAGCCAAGAATGTTCAAGGACTCAGCCCCACGCCTCAGTCCCATTCTCCGAACCCACAGGTGAGGTCAGGGTTTCCACACAGCTGCCTCCGCTGTGTGAGAGACTGCAAAGGCGCACGGGCTGAGTTGGGACGTCCCCATCTGCCTCCTCAAACCTAGCTTCTGCCCAGCTTTCCTATTCCTGTCCAGTGGACACTATCCTCTCAGTCACCCCAGGCTGGAAACCACGGTGCCCTCTGCATTCTGGACCTCCTTCTGGCACATTCTTTCCCTCTGTTCACCTTTACTGATGCCTGGCTGCTCACTGCCAACAAGACCACATCCTTGGCTTTCTTCTCCAGCATAACTATCTAGTCTCAGTCTCAGTCTCAGTCTCAGTCTCTCTCTCTCTCTCTCTCTCCCTCTCTCTCTCTCCCTCTTCCCCCCGTCTGTCTGTCTGTCTCCTTTTCTCTATCTCCATCTCTGTCTCTCTGTCTCTCTCTCTCTCCCTCTGTCTCTCCCTGTCTGTCTGTCTCCTCTCTGTCTCCATCTCTCCTGTCAGTCTGTCTGTCTGTCTGTCTGTCTCTCTCTCTCCTCTCTCTTTCAGAGGGGGTATCCCATTCCTTGCTCCCCATTTTCTCTTCCAGACTTTCCCTTTACCTCCTTCATTCAGCAACCTTTCCTCTTTCGAAGTCCACACATGTAAAGTTTCTGCTCAATCTCAGGGTGAGAATGAGAAACCTCAGGCTTTGCCCCAGGTTGCCAAGACTTAAAAGGAGTCAACAACACAGTCCTTGAGACCCTTCTTGACCCACCTCTTGCCCCACACACAAAATTTCCCATGTCCAGCTTTGGGCTCCATGTTACACTTGGGAGCTTTGAGGATAGTCAGACTCATTAAAAAGGCCCCAGTGCTTTTGAATGAGCCATTTATAAAGCAATTTGCAGAAACCTGAACCCATGGTCCTGGGCCTATCCTCAGAATACCACGGTCCTCACCAAGTCTCTGCCAAGGGATCTCCCCAGATCACGAGGATCATTCCTGGGGAGGGTGTGGAGACAGCTTGTAGCAGGACTCTGCAGAGCTCTAAGGGGACCCCCTAAGCCCTTCCCAGCCATGATCCATTGTGGTATGGCCAGGGAGAATGGGGAGGTGGAAGGAGGAACAGTCGCCACACTTTCAGGTCTGAACCTGGACAAATGGAGGATTTGTCTCAGTCATCATGCATTACCTTTAGGTAACTTGATTAGTTTTGAATTTTAAAAACCTCTGCATTACCAGGCACCCCAAAGATCATCTAAACCCCAACACCTTTCCCAAGAGCAGGACAATCAGAGGCATGGGCCCCTGGTGGGGGCCCAGAGAACTGCTCCCAGGCATCTTACGGAGCTCTAGTCTCCTGACTTCTAGTCCCTGTTAAAATTCAGGAGCAAACCCTTGCCAAGAACGTTGGTCTGAAAAGAGCCGGTGAGAGATCCACTGCCCTGGATACTAAGAGTAAAGGCTGAGCCCCACTTCCTGCCCGGCTCAGCTCCACATTGGCTTTCCCCACCCTGCAAGGGCCTGCATAATGCCCAAAGACTGAAATGATGGCTGAATTTCTCTTCCCACTGGCTTCAGGGTCTTCACTGAGCACAGCAGGCATTGTACAGAGCCTGAAATGTCAGTCCCCAATGGAATATTGTGATGGTTTCAAGGCTCAAACTCCCCTCCTCCACAAAGCCCTGAGAAAAGCAATCCAGGGAGAAGCCATGAGGACATGGTGCCTTTCTTGTCCAATGGTGCTGGTGAGTTGGGCCCAAATCACCAAACCTGTGATTTCATTAGTGCTGGATACTTCCTCTACCCGGCACCCTTGGACTCTGAAATCTATAGTCTAAGAGACTGTCTAAGAGGCATTGAGAAGTCCCACAGCTCTTGTGTCCTAAGTGAAACTGGAATCCAGGCCTTCTTAACCTAAGGCTAAGCTTTGGTCCATTACCTGGGGGGGTCTACCCCGACCAGAAGTGGTTTGGAAGTCTCTATCCCCCTGGAGAAGGGAGACTTGGGGCCATTTTGTCCTGTGGCCATGCCCCCCCCCCAGCCCCAAAGACTAGGAAATCAGCTCTGGAGCTCCTGCTAGAAACTCAGCCTTGTGGGCTCACATCACAGCTGCCCCCGGGCTCTCTCCATCTTTGGGATCAAAGCAGAGGATGGAGACCCGAGGGCCGTTGTGCTTTTATTAAGTATTTCAGCAAAAAACGCCTACTACATCCACATTATTTTCCCCTGTTTTGTAAAAACACAGCTAAGTCAGAGCTAAGAGGATTATGGGGCCTTTCTAAAAGCTGCTTGTCAAAGGGGGCCCTTGCCCACCAGGGTCCTCTCTGACACCCCACCCACAGCTTTTCCCCGATCATCGGGCCGACAGACATCTATCCTTTCAGCCCCAACGCCCAGCAGCCCCACCAGCTTGAGGCTGCACTCCGACCGAGGCCCCATTCTTCTGCAGGCCTCGGCTCTGGGAGAAGGCTGAAAACAGCAATTTGTGTTTGGTTCGGCAGGCCTGGGAAGGGAAAAGGCAGGCTGGGCTGCCTCTGGGGAGAAAGGTCGCCTCTTTGGCTTCTGGGCTGAATGCCTTCTTGAGAACTCGTTCAGGAGCTTCGTGGCTTGTGCAGAAAGCCCCACAGATGTTGACATTTTTTTCATCCCTGGGTTAAGATGTTTTCTATAGGCTTTTATTCCTCATTTGTTACTTCTTTATTATCCGAGAGTTTTTCAGAGGGTCGGTTAGTTTTTTCCTAAAGGCGTTGACTCAGCTCTCTGAAGAGAGCAGCGGTGGCAGCGGCCAGCCGCATTCTTCTCTTGGGCCCTTTCTTCCTCGCCTCCCGAGGCAGGCCCGGGGCCTTGGGCCTTTTTGTTGAGAACAGCAGGTTGCTGTGGCCGCCGGGGTCAGTCCTCAGAGCCTCTCAGGGGGTCCCCTTTGTGCTGCCCTCCCTGGCTTGCTGCACACTGGCTCAGGGGCTGTGAAAGGCCAGGCATGTTTCTGGTTGCAGGCAAACATTTCTACAAATCATTTCTTGGAAAGTAATCTTGAGACCTAGCCCTTCCCCCCCTTCCCCCCCCCCCCCCCCCCCCCCCCCCGAAGCCACGCTCCAGGACACTGGGAGAATGGGCTTACATCAGCAGCACCCCAAAGGTGAGGTGGAAAGTGTGAGTCCAGAGAGAGCCTGAACATTACAGTTATCTCTGTCCGGAACACTGGGCTGTTGTTACAGTCACACGCACGCTCTCGATGTTCTCGCACACCATTTGTAATTTGTCTTTTCATATTTTCTTTTATTTTTCATCTGACTTGTGGGTCAAAAGATCCTTTAGACCCCGGTCATCAGACAAGACTTCAGGCTCAATCTCGGGGGCTCCCCTCTAATACTAATCCTAGTTGCCTCCCTCCAGAAGTCTCCAAGGGCCTTCTGCCTCCCAACTCACCTCATGGTGAAAGGCTTCCAAGCATAACACTGACCAGGGTCATTAAGGGCCTGCAAACAAACAAAGAAGGGACTCACATCCAGGCTCCTTTGGCCCATCACAAGCTAGGGTCCCTACCCCTCTGCATGAGTCACATTCCACCTCATCAGCTGGTGGCCAGTGTGTTGGTAATGAGCCTTTTGTCACCTGATAGCTGGCACTCAGCTCCTCTGGTCCTCAGATGAGCCAGTCACCAAGGCCCATTCCTAGAGGCAACCCAGCCTGATAGGACTCAGCAGCCTTATGCCCCATGAGAACAGGCTAGAAGCACCTAAAGTTAATCACCCCCATGTCACAAAAGGACTTGGGTGGCAGAAGAAAGAGCTTCTCCTGCGCTACTCTCTAGCTCATCCTAGCTCTCGAGATGCTTAAGTAACAGCACCCGCAATGCTTGGTGCCTTCAATCCTCAGCTAGATTATGGTCTGTAAACTTTGCCTCATGGATGGATGGAGACCCAGACAGAGAGCCTCACCAAAGAAGCCAGGGCAAGTCTCGTGCCTTTGGGCTACCATGCTGAAACTTCAGGGGTCTTCAGCTTGGGCTGTTCCCTCATTTCACTTAGAAGCAAAAGAAAGGCTTCATAAAACCCACATACCATCCCCGTCCCCATCACCACCACCATCCCCATCACCTTTATCCCCATCCACGTCCCCACTATCACCATCGTCACCACCATCACCACCACCATCACCACCATTCCCATCATCATCACCCTCCCATTCACAGAGAGCTTTAATTTTATTAAAGGGTTTTCCCAGAAGGCTGGTCTTAGAAGGATCATTATCCCTATTTGACAGATGATGAAACCGAGGTTCTGAAGGGTCGGAGGATCATCATCAATCTCAAGCTAGAAAGGATGGTAGAAGCCATTTCATTCTATCCCCTCATTTTTCAAATGAGGACACCGAGGCCCAGAGGGGCCTCGACTTTCTCCGGGATGCAGGGGGAGCAGCCGGAATGCTCATTGTTCCCAAGATCCCAGCAATGCATAAGAATCAGGGAAGGCTTCCATGTGGCTGCCGCCTGGGGAGCCAGCCCCTCCTCCTGGTTCTGGACCTTTCCCTCGGACAGGCAGACCTGCCATCAATAGGGCTTGGGGACCACAGTCAGAAGCTATTCAGAGCCCAGCACATTGTATTCTCTGGCATTATGGCTACACAGAAGAGTGGCCTCCTCAGCCCTTGGGGCCCTTCCCCCTCAGCAGCAGCAGGGAGCCCCCAGGAGGAGCTCTCAGCAGGCCGGGCCAGGCAGGCCAGGCAGGCCAGGCAGAGGTTACAGGTGCTTTTCATCCCGCCACACGGGAGAGCACCAACGTCCTGCTGCTAGAAATTTGTCCGCATATTTTGTCCTCATTCATAGGAGGGCCAGGGTCCAGGAAACACTGGCTGGAGACGATAACTTGATTAAGACCGGGGACAGAAGACACGGCCATTCCAAGGCGGTTCAAAGGAATCCGGGCTTGGGGCCCTTAACCTCTCCTCTGGAGACTGCTCCATTTTTCTAGTAATTGCTTCATTGTCCCGGCAGAGAACAGTGGCCTGGGAGCGCCTGGCTCCCAAGCCATCCTCAAATGTGCTCAGTCACGTACAAGTCCAGGCAGCGATGACACCTCCCCACCAGCCCCAAGCTGCATCCCACGGGCACCCCCTCGGGCCAGGACCCAGGCTGGGCCTTCTGCAGTGACCCTAACACGAGGCAGTCATTCAGCAAGGTGCCCTCCTCCCTCCAAGGAGACAGCAACGGCCCCAGAATGGGGGGGGGGGTGCTGAGGTTCTCTGGAGTGCTCTTGGGTTCATAATTAACCGCCCTCTGCAACCCAGGACAAGCTATTAGACAGGAGTCAGCAAGACCGGAGTTCCAATCCTACTTCACACACATCCTAGCTACGTGACCCCGGGCAAGTCACTTAACCTCTCTGAGGCCTCAGTTTCCTCATCTGCAAAAGTGAGAGGATGGACTTGGTGGTCTGCAAGGTTCCCTCCAGCTCTGTACAGCGTGGTGCTGGAAGTGGCCGTTGGAAAGCCTTGGGCTGGAATCCCATTCTCAGTCACTTGTTAATGCTACGATGCTGGCCAAGTTCCCTGGGCCTCAGTTTGCACATCTGTAATGTTATGCGGCTGGACTAACCAGCCACTGGGGTTCCATCCAGCATTCAATCTGTTATCCCACATGAAATTCTCCTTGAATCTTAAAGGGCCCTAAAATGTCAGAGATCATTTGTCATTATTATGAATTACAGTGTGGTGAGCGGGTGCTCTCCTGTCCTCTCCCCCCCCCCCTCCACCCGTGCTGCTGGCAGCTCATCCCATCAGCAACATTGTTCATAAACGTCCCATGCTGAGTAGGACAGAAGACCCTGCAGTACAGGCACACCCCACCCCCACCCCACAGGAGACACATAGAAGAAACCTTCTGAATCACTTGCTAGCTCTCTTCCCGCCCCTTACCTTTTAACCCGTGGCTGGCTGTTGTCAATCAAGGATATTCTTGGAGAGCTTTTCCCTGAAGGAACAGGATGCATCGCCACCCAAGTAGCCCCTGAACTGGGGGAATTCTCTGTGCGAATGAAAGTAAGTCCGTGCGTTTGTGGCGCTGAGGAAGCGCCGGGCCAGCCAGGCACACTCCGTTTCTGAATCCCGTTCCCCATGATTTAACCCACCGTTGTCCCCACGAGAAATACCGCATCTTTGGGCCTCCGACTTGTGTCAGGGGAATGGAATTTTTTTTGAACCACTAAACTGCATTATTCCGCTGCAAACAAAAAAATGAACAAAAGAGAAGTGAGAGAAAGGGGGACTTTTTTTTTTTAAGTACCTTCCTCTCTGATTTCCTAATAATTACAAGTGGGCCAGGGGAAGGAATGCACCCCAGTGGCATTCCAGGAACACAACAGACAAGATGCTGGTCTGGGAAGAGAGTCCTTCCTCGCACCGCTTTGCCCAGGTGCGGGCACCCCTTCTATCCTGTGGGCAAAAGCTTGACCCTGAACGTGAGACCATTTGCCTCGGGCCTTTCCATCTGCCTTCGAGACCCTGACTGTTCACCAGGCAGGTTGGCACCCCTTCTGACTGTGCCCAAATCGCCTACAAAATTCACGTCCTCGTTGCCTTGAATTTAGTCTTGAACAGAGGGTGGCTTTGATATTTACTCCCAAACCAGGGAGTGATGGAGGGAGGGCCGCAGCAAACCCGGCCTTGCCAATGGATGTTCCAGGCTGGCGGGCACCTCAGAGAGCCCCGAGGTTGGTAACTCAGACTCTCGCTGATGGAGAGGCCTGTGTAAAGGGGGCGTTCCAATCTGCCCAGAGTGACGTACAATACATTGTGCCTTTTCACCGGGGCGTTCATTCCGGTAGCTAAGAAAGGAGGCTGCCACACCGCCAAGCGAATCTTTAATGGTGTCGTGGGAACAATGCTGGGGCATTCTGCCGGCGCTCATTACAGAATCATCGGAGATGCTCCGGGAGCATTTCCCACTAATTACCATAAATAGCCGAAAGCCCCCTGCGCCCCCTCCCCAGGCAGGTTCCGCAGCCTTGTCCCACCTCGGCCTCCGCTAGGAGGCCACGCCCCCCCACACAAAGAAGGGACTTTATATCCTGCTCGCCCAAGCCCGAGCTTTCTAAAGAAAAGACAAACAGGGGGTGGATTAACATAACTTACTTGCGGACTAAACAAACAGGCCACTTCCGCCTCTGTGGGCCGCGGGATAAAAGCCCCTCCATCCCATCGCTGCTGGCTAGGCTGCCACTCAAGGCTTTCCCAGGCTGTATCTAGGAAGACAAAGAGAGGAAGGACTGGACACGTCTCAAGAGGACGCTGAGCCCTAGCCAAAGGCAGGAAAATACCAGGCCTTCCCCCTCTCACGCTCAGGGCGGGGACCCTCCGGTGGTGCCTGGCCCAGGCCAAGAGTCAAGGGATTCTATCTCATCTTCTCTGTCCTACTAAACCGGGAGCCACTTATTCCAGACACCATTATCCCATTTGTAGACAAGGAAGCAGAGGGCCCAAGGATGAAGAGTCTTGCCTAGAGTCACATATCTTGTTATTGTCAGAGGCAGGATTTAAACCCTGACCATGCCTCTGTGGGCCTCTGTGCCCACAGCACTGAGCTGCCCGGGGAGGAGCTTGAGCAGGGGCTTGGGTATACCCAAAGGTCAGTCAATGGATGGCCCCAAAGCCTCAGTGAGAATCAATATCTCTATTTACTTTTAAATAAAACCATTCGAGGATGCAGCCAAGATGGTGGCAGAGGAGGAATCCCTAGAGCCTAGCTTCCCCTACAGCTGCTCCAACAATGGTCTGAGAAGACCAATGGACCAAGTAGTCAATGAGAAATCCCAAACTCCAATGGGTCGTCTTCTTAGCCCAGAAAAACAGATTTTCCTGAAAGACAAGTGAACAGGGCAGGACCTTTATAACAAGGGTGGACAAGGATTACAGATTCAGCATCCAGAACCCTCAGCTAGGCTTGTGTGCAGGGACACCCAACCACATCCGGAGCTTAGCCCAGCAGCTCAGGGCCCAGAGCACGGATTTAGTGTGGATTCAAAGCCCAGAATCCCCCATAGTGGGTGGTCCAGTGGAAGGATCTGAAGGAGCTCCCAGCTGAGGCAGCAAGTAAAGGGTTCCCCAGAGCAGTTGGCTGGAAGAATAGCTAAGCAAACGATATCTGGGATGGAGAACCTTCAGCCTGGAGGCCACATGTGCCCTCCAAGCCACAGGTTCTTCAGTCCTTTGACAGATAGATAGGTGATAGATAAATTGATAGATAGATAGATAGATAGACGGATGGATGGATGGATGGATGGAAGGATAGAAGGTTAGATAGATAAATAGATAAATGAACAAATGAATGAGCAAGTAAATAAATAAATGAGATAAATGGCTGAATAAGTAAATAGCTGTTCTGAAATCAGGGATGCCCAAGACACAAACCTAGAAGAGGAGAATAATTCCAAAACACCTAAAAGTAAAGCCGCTCCCCAAAAGATCACAATTTGCCAACAACATCAATTGGAATTCCTGAAACAAATTATAGAAGTCTAAAAATAGCATCATAAATGAAATGAGAGCAATAGAGGAAAGAGTTGGAAAAGAAATGAGAACTCCGGAGGAGAATCTTGGAAAGAGAATTAACAGCTTGGCACAAAAAGTACAAAGGCTTCACTTAAGGAACATGCTTCCTGGAAATTGGATTGTACCAAACAGAAGTTAATGACTCCATGAGAAATATTAAAGAATTATTAAAATAAAGTCAAGAGGTTTTTTTTTTAATAGGAGAAAATTTAAAGTGCTTAAAAATCACTGACCTGGAAAATAAATCAAGGAGACATAATTTGTGAATCACTGGACTGAAAGTCATGAAAAAAATGATCATCTAAACTTTATACTTAAAGAAATCACGAATGAAAACTGCCCTGATCTTTTAGAATCAGAGGAAAGTATGGAAAAGAGGAGCTAAGTAGAGAAAAGTGAAAACAGAAAGAAGCCTTTGGTCACTTCCTGGAAGAAACCCCAAAATGAGAATTCCTAGGAATATCGCAGCCAAAGTTCAGAGCTTTCAAGTCAAATAAAAACATTGCAAGGCACCAGAAAGAGTTTAAGCCCTGAAGAACCTCAGGCTCACACAAAAGAGCACAGAATGTAATCTTCCAAAAGGCAGAAGATAAAAGCTTATAATGAAGAATAACTTACTCGGCAAAACTGAAGGACTGAAAACCAGAGCTTGGGAAAAACTATGAAATACAAATGTGGAAATAAAGAGAAACAGAGCAAGGTAAAAACAAGTGAGAGATTCCAAAAGACTGTATATGGATGAAGTGTTTTCATTCCACTGCCTGGAGGGAATATGGTCCAAACATTTCCTAAAAAGCGTGATGTCAGTGAGAGTCCTAGAGGGAGTCAAATAGGAAAGAGAATTTGAACAGGGCGATTTTTGTTACCCTGTGATGCTCTCAAAAGGAGAAAAGTAGATGATACACTTGAAAAGAAAAGGTGAGGATCTGGGAACTTCTCTCACATAATTGGGAGGGTCAAATAGAATTCTATACAAATGAGGAAAGTGCTGAGAGATTGGGTATCACTGGAACATCACCTTTTTATTTTTCAATTTATTATATTCTATTTTTTAGCATTTAAAAAAATTTTGAGTTCCAAATTTTTCCCTCCCTCCAGCCCCTCCCCTACTCACTGAGAAGGCAAGCAATATGATGCCCATTATACATGTGAAATCATGCAAAACTATTTCCATATTATCCATGGAAGAAGAAGAAGAAGAAGAAGAAGAAGAAGAAGGAGAAGGAGGAGGAGGAAGAGGAGGAGGAGGAGGAGGAGGAGGAGGAGGAGAAGAAGAAGAAGAAGAAAGAAAGAAAGAAAAAAAGTCTTTCAGCCAATCATTATTACAATATTCCTATTACTGTGCATAATTACAGTGACCTCACCCCAGTAAAACCTTCTCAGCAAATGGGCTAGCCCAGGTTGAGGGGAAGTTGGGGGAGTGTCTACTCCAAGCACTCAAAGACGTCTCCTAGTGGAATGGGTGAATATCAGGCACTCTGGAGCCCTTAGAGCTGGCTCAGACATGGAAGGCACCAAGGTCATCCACTATGTCCGGAGCCATCATCACTCTTCTTGACTCTTGTCCTGCCACTGGACTTCAATGACTCTGGAAGAAAGAGCGAGGCTGATGACTTCACACAGCTCTGCCTCACTGAAATCCAATAAACACAAGTCAAGACATCATCCCATCAGTGGTCCTCTTCAAGAATGAAGGACAAACAATAAACATCTCACCACTAGCTGAACGCTGGCTTCCATTGAAAATGTGGAGAAGTCCAGAAAGGGTGGAGGTTAAGTCAAAGGCTTCCTATGGCGGCTGGGGGTGAGAGGGCCCTTCATTCACGGCAGGTAGACCTTCTGGCCTGTTTGTCAGAGCTATTGACTGACTATTTCATAGTTTCACAAGGTATCTCTGTCCGTCTGGGTGGTTCTAGACTCACAAGATCACTGAGTTCCAACTGATGCCCAGCTGGAAGTTTCTTTCTTTCCTTTTTTTTTATTATTTCTTTTTAGCATTCTTTTTGGGCAGTAAGGTGGCACAGTGGATAGAGTGCTGGGTCTGCAATCAAGAAGACCTGAGTTCAAATCTAGCCTCAGCCACTCACTAGCTGTGTGACCCTGAGAAAGTCATTTAACTTCTGTTTGCCTTCATTCATTGAAGAAGGAGCTGGCAAACCAGTCCAGTATCTTTTCCAAGAACACCCCAAATGGGGTCACAAAGAGTCGGTCACAACTGAAATAACTGAACAACAAGGAAAAGTACAAAGCTAATCCTTCTTCCACATGGCAGCCCTTAAGACAGTGGGTGACCTCTCTCGTGCCTCTCTCCCGTCTTCTGGTTGCTAGTCTAAACATCTGCAGTTCTGTCCAAGTCCTCCTCCTAGGGCATGATCTCAAGGTCCTTCACCATCATGGTCACCCTCCTCGGGATGTTCCCCATCTTACCTCCAAGGTGACAGCCACAAGTGAGCAGTCTGACCAAGGCTAATGCCAGTGCTGCCTGCATTAGCGGCTGTCACATCCCTCACTGCTGAAGCCCTCAAGGTGCACACTGAAAACAACCAGGTCCTTTTCAGAAGAAGCACTGTCCACTTGTGCCTTCCTGCCCCATCCCTCCCATCCTCCCCACCCCCATCTGGTACTTAGGGCATTGGGTCCTTGAACTCAAGCATACGGCTTTGCAGTGACCCTGTTAAACCCCATATCATTCAATTTGGCCCAAGGCTCAAACCTACCAAGGTCTTTTTGGATCCTGACTCTTTCTCCAGGTTTCACCCATCCTTCCCTGCTTTCTGGTATATGTGACTTTGATAACTATTCCCTCTCCATCTCCCTTCCTTTATTCAAATCTTCATTTAAAGCACAAACAGAAGAAGGTCCACCCCAGATCTCTGGGGTGGTCGCCTGAAGAACTTCCAACCTGACCTCATGCCATCCATAGCAGGCTCCATGTTCTGACGTGGCCCACAAACTGTCCCTGAAGGCAGTTTTCAGGGTGGCTCAAGGCCAGGGTCAGTGTTTAGAGAGGGGTGCACAGAATGCCAACAGGAAGCCTGCCAGGGGGCCACCCTCCCAAGCACAGAGGAGTTCCAGGGCTTGTTCAGTCCACGGGCACCTGATGGCACAGGTCTGCTGGGACACACCACAAAGCGGCCAGCCTCTGAGTGCAGCCAGCTTCTTGATAGGATCTGCTGCTCTGTTTTGGCAGGACAGGTGGAAAGCACCAAGTGAAAGGCACCCAGGAATAGGGTGACAAATCCTGTCTGTGTTTCAACAGAAGCCCAGTTGTTTGCTGCTTTCTATGGAGCTGACGACTCAGTGCCCACAGAGAGAGCTCTGAGGTCTGGGGATGGGACCACCCCCTCCCCCGTCCAGAACTGGTTTCAGCAGCATCTGGCCATCTCCCTGGGTCACAGTGAACTCTATTCTGTGAGAGGAACAAGGGAAGGCTGAGGACAGTAGGTGACTGTGGCCTAAGGTTTCCTGGCAGCTCACATAGGGAAGTCAGTTTCAACTGCCCAGGTGTCCTTAGGCCACCAGATGCTAGATTTAACCCCCCGCAAGTCACGTCCGGGGAAACTCCAATAGCCCCACAAAGCTTGGCCCCCACTTCCCTGTCTTGGCTACATTCTTTTCTGCCCAGTGGCTATTGGAAAGAACCATCTTCTCTCATCTGTTTTAACATTAACCAGTCAGCTTC